GATTGGTCATTGTAGTTACAGGTTTTGTTTATATCAAGTATTGTATCAATAATTACACACATAGATCACTCTTAAAGAAAGTATATGATAATATGTGTAAAAGGCCTGTATACAAAGTAAACAAGGTAATTATATACTGCCATTCAAGGATAACCCCCCCACTGCTCACTAAAATGGAAATAATCCATAAAGGTAAATCCCACGTCAAGAAACTACATGATCCCAAACTGATCATATATAATATTTGTGGATCTACATCCTTAAAACATAGAAAGGATTTGTATGATAGAATTTCATGAAGACCTGGTGGGTTTACTGCATTTAAGCATTTGATCCACTTGGTTTCTCTACAGAGAATTTTTTTATCCCAATTGCATCCATGTGGGTCTCTCATAACTACCTCCAATACAATAAATCTAGCATGTGTGGTATCAAATGTATGATATACTCCCAGATGGTGACTAATAGGAGTGAGAATTTAGGCACTAGATGAATAATACACATGATCATCAGTGAGGAGAGCTCTGACAGCTGATTGGAGAGAAGGGGCACCCCCCCCCCCCTTCACACAGCACACAGGAACAGAGCTGAGGCTGTCAATCACAGACTGTGCCCTCCCCTGTCACCATTTTATCTCTTGGTGTTAGAAAAACTTGTCAGAAGTGATTCATGCTGATAGCAGAGGAATGGGGCAGCAGACAGAAATGACACTTAGTACTCTACAGTGCATTTTTAAAAAGGCAGGCACGATTTTCATTCTGGTTCAGATGTGATTTCAAGTGTCATGCACTTTAAATATTTGAACATGAATCACACCAAAACTGCTGAACAAAACTGCACTGGACTTCTTTGAAAAACTCGCACTGAAACTGGCCCCACACATATGTGAACCAGGTCTGAGACAAGTACACACTATGGAGGGATGTGCTTTGTTCATATTTCATGAGCTTTACAACCACTTTAAGCTATGAGAAATAGTAAATGGATAAGAAAGTACTGTATATCGTATTTGTTTTAAACTGTTTCTTACATTTCTTCAGTTACTTTCTGGTTTCCATGCATAGGCAAATGATGTCATACATCCCAAGAGTCTTCAGGAGCAGAGGAGGGGTATTCTCAGCTAAGTACACCCTCCTGCCTGCATGCCTTAGCCAAGGGCAGATGGATTCCAGGAAGAAAATGCTACATGAATCATCTGCCTTTACTCAAGATGGCCATGACCAGGTGCCAAACTGGCGGCCCTCCAGCTGTTGCCAAACTACAAGTCCCATGAGGCATTGCAAGACTGACAGTTACAAGCATGACTCTCAAATGTTGAGGCATGATGGGACTTGTAGTTTTGCAACAGTTGGAGGGCTGCCAGTTTGACACCCCTGATCTAGGGGGTGTTTTTCTAAGTGATTTTTCAGCTAAAGCAAGCATGAAGACATGGATGGTTGGGGGTGTATGATTTGAATATTAAAAATGAATTAAATTGCGCTTTTGGTTTGTGGTGCTCAGACACAATATAGTTTCGTTTTAAATTCTCATAGTCTGCACACTTTCCATTGCAACATGCCACGTTTAGGTTGATTGATGCTATAATATTCAATTTACAATCTACACTAGACTGGTGATACCTATTGTCGCCATCATATCCACTTTTTTCTCCCTGACCAATGTCTATATGACATTACAGGCTTTAAAACAATCTTTTTTCAGCTTAGATGTAATCCAGGTAACTGTAGTATTTATCACCATTCCTTCCTGGTGATCATTCATTACTAAATAAATAAATGTAGCACAGCGCAGATTATTCATACACTGCACCCAATCTATATATGGATAAAGATCAACTAAACTTGACCACGCTATGAATGTATGTACACACACAGCTGAAGGCCTCACTTTCCGGATTCCCTCCCGGGCATTCACTTTTCTAAAACTTTAAGAAAATACGTTCTAATTTTTACTCTGTCTTCTTTTCATTTATTTAACCAATGCGTTTACACAGCTTGTGAGGGAAAGATCAGGGGCTTGCTACAGTAAAACTTAGAACTCCAGTAAAAAAGAAAAAAAAAAAAAAGATACTCTTTTTTAAGTTTATATTTATTCAAGTTATATGGTACAGTATCTAAAAAAACTTTCCCTTTTCCATGCAAAGTTCTTAAAACATTATTATCCCCTTCCAGCCATCTCCTCCTGGCCCTTTTAGACCTTCTTGACGCCGGGTGGCAGAGGCAGGCTTGATCATGTGACTGCCGTGATTGGCTGTTACAACGATCACATGATCGGAAAGTTCCCAATGGCAAGTAGACATCAGGAGCCTTCTGTTATCAGCAAGACTGTGGCTGTCCTGAAGCCTTCCTCCTGTCTCTCTCCTCCTGCTCTCTTCCTTCTGCCCCAGGACAGGGGTCCCACCAGATGACTGGACCCTGGAGTCTGCTCCCAGACTGTCAGGCTTTTGAGTATTTATGGGTTGTCTCCCCACCTTCTGGGTCCTGCCACCCCAGGGATTGGTGGAAACTGCATAAATATTCAGGCTGCAGTCTCTGTGCATCCCCCCCGTCCAGCATGTTCTAGAACCTTCTAGTGAGTTCCAGAAGACAGGGGAGGCAATAGAGAAACAGCTTGGGAAGTATTACCCAGTCTCCAAAACACAAGTAACACATACTCCTTTACCTACAGGAGAGTCAAAATAAATTTACCATGGTCTGCAACCTTCCAGTGCAGGGGCGGACTGACCATTGGGAAACTCGGGCACTGCCCGAGGGCCCGGGGTCAGTAGGGGGCCCCATGAGATGTCCCTGGTACCTTTCATAGGCTTTTTTGGGTGTGGTTTGAGTGTGGGCAAGGACACAGGGCCCCATGATCCCCTATTGCCCGGAGGCCCCATGAGTTGTCAGTCTGCCCCTGTTCCAGTGAGTTCCAGAAAACAGGGGGAGGTAATAGAGCCACAGCCTGTGAAGCATTGCCCAGTCTCCTAAATGCAATTAACACATGTTTCTCTGCCTACAGGGGAGCCAAAATAGATGTACCATGGTCTGGAAGCTTCCAGTGAGTTCCAGAAGATGGGGAGGTAACAGTGCCACAGCCTGTGAAGCATTGCCCAGTCTCCTAAACACAAGTAACACATGCTCCCCTGCCTACAGGGGAGCCAAATAAATTGACGATGGTCTGGAACCTTCCAGTGAGTTCCAGAAGACAGGGGGAGGTAATAGAGCCACAGCCTGCAAAGCATTGACCAGTCTCCTAAACAAAATTAACACATGCTCCTCTGCCTACAGGAGAACCAAAGTAAACTTAACATGTTCTGGAACCTTCCAATGAGTTCCAGAAGACGGGGAGGTAACAGAGCCACATCCTGTGAAGTATTGCCCAGTCTCCTAAACGCAATTAACATATGCTCCTCTGCCTACAGGAGAGACAAAATAAATGTACCTACACTAGCAACAGTGAGTGTGCTACACACCCTCTTTCACTGTCAGGGCATTAAGGATGTGGAACTCCCTTCACACAATCAGTGGTGTGAGCAGGAAGTATCGATAGTTTCAAAAAACTTTTGGAATCGGTATCTTAGTGAACACAATATACAGTGATATGGGATATGAGTTTCTGACATGAGTACACACACCCACACAGGTTGATCTGGATGGACTGGTGTGCTTATTCAACCTTACCAACTATGTAACTATGTAATAACATGTGGAAGACAGCGGCAAGGTGCTTACTCAACATTTCCAAACAATATAGCAACAAAGCCTTAATATCGCAAGAAACTTGGGTCCAACCATTCTCAGCAAAGTTGGTGGCACCTTAACACAGTTGCAGGACTTGAGAAGACTTTAATATTGTTACATTACCACAGCAGCATCTAGTGAAGGGGGAAGGGGTGGCTGACTGGCAGAACAGTGGTGTAGGCACACTTAGTAGACCAGCAAGAAGTTCCTTGTCTACAAAGTCCCAGAGAGCAGAGCCAGATGTAGGTTCCTTGCTCTGTCCCTCCTCAACAGGAACCTCTCCTTAGCACTATATCCACTGCCCCAGCCAGCAAGAATTCTATCCCTACTCTCTCAGCTTCAAAAATACACTCCAACTGCAGTGGGGTAGTGATATTTATTAGCATTGCCCTCACTAAAGATGTCCACAGAGGTCAACCAGTGTGGTAGTGTCCAGGGGGAGGACTGACCATTTGGAAACTCGGGCAGTGCCCGAGGGCCCGGGGTCAGTAGGGGGCCCCATAAGATGCCCCTGGTACCTTTTTCATAGGCTTTTTTGAGTTTGGGCAAGGATACAGGGGCCCCATGATCCCCTATTGCCCAGGGGCCCCATAAGTTGTCAGTCCGCCCCTGGTAGTGTCCAATTGAACACCTGCACCTACTCCAGCTATGGAGGCTTCAGCTGAACAAAGCTCATCACAACCTTCATTCCCATTCCAGGTAAACAGCACCACCTACAGAGGGGAGGATAAACTACACCTGCCTACATGTGTGCTTGAGTCATCCAGTCCCAGTGATACAAACTGACAGGAGGAACATACACCTAAGATAGTAGTTGATGTCCATTCATGCATATAGTTAGAAAAATCATTCACATATTGCCAAAACTAGCTATCTGGTCCAAGATTTCGAGCTCCAAATTATTACCAGGTGGGAGGAATGCACTGGCCACAGATTATACAAAATGCTTCGCTAGATTAAACGGTGATGCTTAAAGCGATATTAAACAGGACAGAAGAGACCCTATCTTCCCTGCGTGTCACAGGCACAGGAGTCCATTCAAATGAATGGGCTTTCATGCCCGTGCAAAACACGGCCTGCACAGCCGCATATATGTGAACCAGGGGTGAATGACAATTGCACGGTCATGCAACACTGTACCCATATGAATGTGTAAGGGCTTTTGGATGTCTATACAAGGGAAGCTTTTACAGGTAAATAACATACTTAAAATAAGATAAATTCACATATAATCCTATTGGACCATTTTGTTAAATTAAATGGTTTTGTAACAGTTTCTCTTTAACCACTTCAAGTCCAGACACTTTCACCCCCTTCCAGTGCAGGCCAATTGTCAGTGCTATCACACTTTGACCCTAGGTTCATCTGTGCGGGTGGTGCCGCTGCGGATCCGCACGAAAATCCATGCAGCCGCACAGAGAAATGCGGACCCGCGGGCGGATACCATCAGTTCTAATGGCACGCCACCCGCATTGGGAAACGCAACCGCACTGGGAACCGAGGTACCTGTGCGGGCTGCATTTTCCAAAGAAGTGCAGGGACTTCTTCCCTGCATGTCACAGGGCACAGGAGTCTATTCAAATGAATGGGCTCTCGTGCCTGTGCAAAACGCAGCCCGCATGGCCGCATATATGTGAACCAGAGGTGAATGACAATTGCGCGGTCATGCAACACTGTACCCATATGAATTTTTTAGCATATTTTTGAGACAGATAAAACTTTATTTTTGGTGGTATTTATTCACCACTGGGATTTTTATTTTGTTGCTATATAAATGAAAAAAGTCCCAAAATTTTGAAAAATAAGTGTTTTTCTTATAAAATATTGCAAATAAATAATCTTTCTTCATAAATCTTGGCCAAAGTGTATTCATCTATCTTTTCAGTTGCTTTTTTTTCTGCATCCAAAACACACAGAAAGTAGGTGATATGGTTGTCAATGACATAAATCACGTCTGTGCTTGCAGTTCCAGTTGCAGAAAAAAAAGTAGAACAGGCTGCATTTTGTTCTGCACAGAACTGTACTGGAACGCAGTAAAATGCATAAAAAATGCACCAGAATGCACTGGAATGTGCCAAAATGTATCAAAAATGCACTGGAATGCACATGTCCCTATTTAAATTAAAGAAAAAGAGAGGGGAAATAATTAATTGGAACGCATCAAAAATGCACAGCAAAAACACGGCAAAAATGTGCATGCGGAAATGCATCTGGACTGCGTTTGTATAGTGTGAACCGGCCCTTAAGACTAGTTCACACTAGATGCTGTTCAGTGCGCTTTTTTTCTGCATCAAAAAGGCATGCACAGTGTTTTCCATGTATTCCAATGGCCCTAGTTCACACCAGTGCAGTCAGTTACAGTCAGTTTCCGATGCGGAAAATAAAGTAGAGCATGCTGCATTTTTTCTGCACAGAACTGAACTGGAACATAGCAAACTGCATCAAAACTGCACCGGAACTACGTGTGGTGTGAACTGTAAGTAAAAACGTATCCGGAATGCATTTTTGTAGTGTGAACTGGCCCTGAGGGCTAGTTCACACTAGATGCACTTCAGTGCGCTTTTTTCTGCATCAAAAATGCATGCACGGTGTTTTCCATGTATTCCAATGGCCCTAGTTCACACCAGTGCAGTCAGTTACAGTCAGTTTCCGATGCGGAAAAAAAAGTAGAGCATGCTGCATTTTTTCTGCACAGAACTGAACGGGAACATAGCAAACTGCATCAAAACTGCACCGGAACTGCGTGTGTGGTGTTAACTGTAAGCAAAATTGTATCCAGAATGCATCCGGAGTGCATTTTTGTGATGTGAACTGGCCCTAAGGCTGCAGTTGCAACACATTTGTTAGCAAAAATGGGGTTAAAAAGTGCTGAGGAGGCACCATGAGAAAAGTTGGGTTACTTTTCTCATGGTGCCTCCTCAGCACTTTTTAACCCCATTTTTGCTAACAAATGTGTTACAGCTGCACATACTGCATACAGCTGTGGGGCATTTGCGGCACTTCCCCATTCACTTACATGAGTCTCATCCAGCAGACTTGCTGCCCACCAATCTTAACATGTTTGAAAGTTTTTCCCACAGATTGAAAGCATCATGGCTGCAACATGTGAGCACTCCCATCCACTGCCATTGCAACTTAAGGGGGGAATGGCTGGGGGTTGTGCTAAAAAGATAGTTCAACCACACATTTTTAATGGTCCTCCTCCGCTAGTCTAAATGAGGCCTAGCGGAAGAAAAGAGATGTTGATTACAGCCATCAATTAGATGTTTGGTTTTAGGTTTTAGAACAGACTCACACTAAAATTGTAAAGTGTTACTAAACCCAGGACCCTGCATTCACTATATCTGGTCTCCCAGGACCCTGCATTCACTATATCTGGTCTCCCCGGACCCTGCATTCACTATATCTGGTCTCCCAGGACCCTGCATTCACTATATCTGGTCTCCCCGGACCCTGCATTCACTATATCTGGTCTCCCAGGACCCTGCATTCACTATATCTGCTCTCCCTGGACCCTGCATTCACTATATCTGGTCTCCCCGGACCCTGCGTTCACTATATCTGGTCTCCCAGGACCCTGCTTTCACTATATCTGGTCTCCCAGGACCCTGCATTCACTATATCCGCACTCCCCGGACCCTGCATTCACTATATCTGGTCTCCCAGGACCCTGCATTCACAATATCTGATCTCCCCAGACCCTGCATTCACTATATCTGGTCTCCCAGGACCCTGCATTCACTATATCCGCTCTCCACGGACCCTGCATTCACTATATCCGGTCTCCCTGGACCCTGCATTCACTATATCCGGTCTCCCCGGACCCTGCATTCACTATATCCGGTCTCCCTGGACCCTGCATTCACTATATCTGATCTCCCCGTACCCTGAATTCACTATATCTGGTCTCCCCGGACCCTACATTCACGATATCTGGTCTCCCCGGACCCTGCATTCACTATATCTGATCTCCCCGTACCCTGAATTCACTATATCTGGTCTCCCAGGACCCTGCATTCACTATATCTGGTCTCCCAGGACCCTGCATTCACTATATCTGGTCCCCCACAGTACATACAACATAGAAATGTAATTATTTTAGTAAATATAAACTGTTAAATACCTTTTCTCATCAGCAGTTAGAGCAGTCTTGTGACTTCTATCAGTGTCCAGCAGAGCATTGGTTAAAGCTTGTAGGAGGAGTTTTCATTCTCCTCTGACTGTCCTTTGAGGCTGCATAACCCCTGTCCCTCTGTCTGGACAGTGCTGATTGGCCCTGTGATGATCACATGCACCCTCCCAGAGGAAAAAAAAAAACCTAACAATACACACTAAATTGAGTATGTGCAGAGTGACTCCTGGAGCTCTGTACTATCAGCAGATGTATTGGGGACAGTAGAAGGGGAGGACCAGTGAAGACAGGATCAAACAGCTTTTTTACAAAATGCAGAGATTAACCCCTTAGGTTCCACAGTGAGTATAACAAGCATGCTTTACTGCATATACAGACTGATTTTACTGTTGGGGGTTTAGTAACTTTTTAAGTTAAAGCCCAGTTTAATTGCTTCAACTTTTGGTCATGCAATTTGCACTGAAGGAAGTCTGGATAGAAATTTCCCACAGGCACAAATAAAGCCCAATTAAGGGCCCCCAGCCTATGTTAAAAAAAATAGCAGCTCTGGCTGCAATACTCATCCGTAATCCAGAGCTGTCCCTTGATGTACTCTCTTTTCGCCACAAGATGTCCTCAGTAGACTGAAGACATACTGTGAGTGCAGGGCATCATGAGCCCTCCCCTGAGGGGTATAATGACAATGCTCTGTATTCACTATGGAATGGTGATATTAGCACTGCTTTGTGCATCATTCAGGACTACCCAACACAGAGAAGCTGAGAAGAGAAAAAGGAATCTGGGGGATCCTGGGAACAGCATAAAGACTTTAGGAAAAGTTAGCATTAAAAATAGATTTCTTGCTTGGAGGACCTTCATGGGAAGAGAAAGTGGGGGGGAAGGGGTCCTAGTTTGGAGCTGAGCTTCAAGTATTTCAACTCCTCTTTCACCCTTTATCCAGCCCAAGTTGCCTAGCATTATCGAACGTTAACATTAGAGTATTCAGTACACCCACCGGCCACTTTATTAGGTACACCTGTTCAATTGCTTGGTAACACAAATTGCTGATCAGCCAATCACATGGCAGCAACTCAATGCATTTAGGCATGCAGACTTGGTGAAGGCAACTTGCTGAAGTTCAAACCGAGCATCAGAATAGGGAAGAAAGGGAATATAAGTGACTTTGAATGTGGACATGGTTATTGGTGCCAGACGGGCTGGTTTGAGCATTTCAAAAACTGCTGATCTACTGGGATTTTCATGCACAACCATCTCTAGGGTTTACAGAGAATGGTCTGAAAAAGAGAAAATATCTAGTGAGGGCAGTTGTGTGGATGAAAATGCCTTGTTGATGTCAGAGGAGAATGGGCAGGCTGGTTGCTGCAACATTCAGATGGTAGGGTCAGAATTTGGTGTAAACAACATGAAAGCATGAATCCATCCTGCCTTGTATTAACGGATCAGGCTGGTGGTGGTGGTGTAATGATGTAGGGGATATTTTCTTGGCTCTAGCAAGGTGTAACAAATTAAGTGGCCGGTGAGTGTAAGTCTGCTTTAAAACAACCATTAGAAAAATCATAGGTGGAAACTGCACTGTTGCTATAGGTATCACTTCTGTTAAAAGTGGTTGTAAACCTCTGGTATGAAAAATGAACAAAGCATATCCCTCTATAGTGTGCACTTGCCTCAATCCAAAGCACTGAGCATGATTTCTGTCTGCTCTCCCATTTCTATGCTATCTGTAGGAGTCACTTCTATCAGTCTATGTCCACAACACAGAATCCCAGGAGCGGGCCCTGCACCCCCTCCAGCACACAGAAGGTAATTTACAGCCGCAACTGTGCATGTTTCCCAATGAGACTGTGTAGGGGGGGCGGGCCAGGGGGGTACTCAGGTCTCAGATTACACTCAGCTCTCAGCTCTATGCTGTGCAGCATGTGAGGTGTAATTTAAAGCTCAGAAAGGCTGTCCAAATTCTACACTTTAAATGGATGTAGAGAGGAGAAGACTGCAGATAAACAGGTACAACTTATGTCGGAGGATTTGTTTCATGTCTGTGTATCACCTGTGGCTGCTCACTTCATTGGGTATATGTAAGGGTGTACAACTGCTGCTCCTGGATGCACTGGCAGTGGGTTTTTTTTCTGCCTCTAAACGCTAAAAGCCTATGTGTGCATGGACACATAAGCTAGCATCCAGGGGAGTTTAGAGGGAGGGAAAAAAAACCTCCAGGCACCCCTAGGAGCAGCTGAACAAATGCAACTTAGATCGTAAACTCCAAGGAGCAGGGCCCTCCCAGGGGCGGACTGACTATTAAGGAACTCAGGCACTGCCTGAAGGCCCGGGGTCAGTAGGGGGCCCCATGAGATGTCCCTGGTACCTTTCATAGGCTTTTTTTGGTGTGGTTTGAGTGTGGGTGAGGACACAGGGGCCCCATGATCCTCTATTGCCCGGGGGCCCCATGAGTTGTCAGTCCACCCCTGGGCCCTCCTAACCCTCTTGTATTGAACTGTATCGTTGCTGTATCCTGTATTATAATAATAATAATGTGCATGAGGCCTAAGGAATGAACCAGATAAACAGCCAACTTCCCTGCAAAATCTGTAACCTAAATAAAAGAGATGTCACCCAGAAAGCATAAGACCAGGGGCGGACTGACAACTCATGGGGCCCCCGGGCAATAGGGGATCATGGGGCCCCTGTGTCCTTGCCAAAACTATCAAAAAGGCCTATGAAAAAGGTACCAGGGGCATCTCATGGGGCCCCGGGCCCTCGGGCAGTCCCAGAGTTTCCAAATGGTCAGTCCGCCCCTGTATAAGACTATGGTGTGACCAAGCCTAGTGCAGATCAGACAGAGCAAAACTGTGCCCAGATTAATCTGGCAGCAGATCAAGAGTAATAATTACAAATTAATGGTACTCGCTGTTTTAAGTACACTCAGTACAACATTGGCAACGTTGTGCAATAAAGGGAAGGCAGAAGGACAAAGTTCCAGCCCATCTTTTCTTAGGATCTTATAGCAGCCCTGAGAACTGCTATGGTGGTAGTTCCATCGGTGTTTCTGCCTAACTTTTTCTAATTGGCAGCTGGATATTTATGCAACCCTGGCCAATCCTTGGGGAGAGTTGCCCAGATGGTGGCTGGGAGTGTGTACCAGGGGCAGACTGACTATTTGGAAATTCGGGCACTGCCCGAGGGCCGGGGGGTCAGTAGGGGGCCCCATGAGATGCCCCTGGTACCTTTTTCATAAGCTTTTTTGAGTTTGGGCAAGGACACAGGGGCCCCATAATCCCCTATTGCCCGGGGGCCCCATGAGTTGTCAGTCCGCCCTTGGAGTGTACAGATACTCTGAGACCAAAAACAAAGGTGTCTTTTCCCTGAGATCGCAGCCTAGGGGCTGAGATCACAGCCTAGGGGGGCTACTTGCCCCCTAAGCAATTTTGCCATGTGTTTGGAGTTCATCAAGGCCAGCTGGGCTAGCTGGAGGGTCTAGTTGCTGAAAGTTGCTGGAGCTGACTGAGGGGCTCTTCATCTGTGGATCTCAGTTGTGACCAAAATTATTCAACCCCCAATGCTGTAAAGGGGTTTAGGGACTATAGTGTACATTTGGAATTGTATTCAGAATCAAATCCTACAAGGACGTTGTAACTACCCAAATGCAACTAAAATGACATCAATTGTTTATGTAATACAGTAGTAAATGGTTCTTATGTGGTTTCTTCATTGCCACAATTATTCAACCCCTTAAAGACTACCACTCTGAAGAACAGAGGTTCATACAGGTGCTTTCCATCAGGTATTGAAAACACCTGTGGATGTCACCGAGCAGCAATCAAGCATAATAAGCACCAATTAGGCAGCTTTAAAATGACTGTGATACTCAGCTCCTTCTAGACATTTACTGGTGTGGTTACAAACATGGTGAAGGCAAGAGAATGGTCCAGGAAGACAAGAGAAGAGGTGATTTCTCTTCACAGGAAGGGCAATGGCTATAAGAAGATTGCAAAGATGTTAAACATACCAAGAGACACCTTAGGAAGCATCATTCGCAAATTCAAGGCAAAGGGCACTGTTGAAACGCTACCTGGTCGTGGCAGAAAGAAGATGCTGACTTCGACTGCTGTGCGCTACCTGAAGCGTAGAGTGGAGAGAAGTCCCCGTGTGACTGCTGAGGAACTGAGAAAAGATTTGTCAGATGTGGGTACAGAAGTTTCAGCCCAGACAATAAGACGCACACTGCGTAATGAAGGCCTCCGTGCCAGAACTCCCAGGCGTACCCCCTTGCTGTCTCCAAAGAATAAGAAGAGTCGACTGCAGTATGCCAAAAGCCATGTGGACAAACCACAAAAGTTGTGGGATAGTGTTTCTGTGGACGATGAAACAAAATTAGAACTGTTTGGGCCCATGGATCAACGCTATGTTTGGAGGAGGAAGAACAAGGCCTATGATGAAAAGAACACCTTGCCTACTGTGAAGCATGGTGGAGGGTCAATCATGCTTTGGGGGCTGTTTTGCTTCTGCAGGTACAGGGAAGCTTCAGCGTGTGCAAGGTACCATGAATTCTCTTCAGTACCAGGAGATATTGGATGGAAACGTGATGCAGTCCGTCACACACCTGAGGCTTGGGAGACGTTGGACCTTTCAACAGGACAATGATCCCAAGCATACCTCCAAGTCCACTAGAGCATGGTTGCAGAGGAAAGGCTGGAACATTTTGGAGTGGCCATCGCAGTCACCAGACTTAAATCCGATTGAGAACCTCTGGTGGGACTTAAAGAAAGCAGTTGCAGTGCGCAAGCCTAAGAATGTGACTGAACTGGAGGCCTTTGCCCATGAAGAATGGGCGAAGATACCCGTAGATCGCTGCAAGACACTTGTGTCAAGCTATGCTTCACGTTTAAAAGCTGTTATAACTGTAAAAGGATGCTGTACTAAGTACTAAGATTGAATGTCACTTGGGGGTTGAATAAAACTGATAATGCTGTGAGCACAGAAAAGACATTTGTGGTTATTTCATTATAACTGTTATGTTATATTTGTCTGACCTACAAGTGCCTCTTTAATGTAAATGTAAGCAAGATGACTGAATGATCAAAAGCAATGTCAAACTGGCCAAAACACTCAATTTTCAGTGGGGGTTGAATAATTTTGGTCACAACTGTAGTTTGGTATCGCTGGGAGAAAGTGTGGAAGATATTGGAAGGAGGAAGCCAACTATCTGAAGACATTAGTGAGTACAGACTTATGTGAAAGATCCTAGAGAGTGTGTGCTGTTGCCCCCCACTGTTGCTATAGAGTCAGCTGTATGTAAAGGGTACATTGTGTCTGACGTCCTCAAGAGCTCAGTCTATTTAATTCTTAGCAAAAGGACTCTGCTCAGATTATCCAAAGAGGAAGATTTATATCCTCAAATTGCTACTGCAAAGCTCAGTCCATCATCTACTTGTACAAGGATTTGGCTCAAAATTTAAAAGAGGGAAGTTCAGTGTCCTCAAAAGCGCTACTAAGAGTTATTGGAGTATCCCACAGTATCCCACATTGGAGTACCCCTACTCATATCCAAGTTCAGGTTCTACAATAAAAGATCAGAAAAGCATACCCCTAGACTGCTCATTGAACCAAAGGACTGACTGTGATTGTGTGCCTGGCCGTGGGGCAATTCAGAGAAAACACCAAAGGGGCCTTTAATACTGCTGGCTCCTCCGGGGGTACCACTACATAAGTAACTGCTCAGAGTCTATAAACCCTTAATCTGAGCTCAGTCTTATCTATTCCTATAAAGACCAGATTTTTAGTCTGGTCTGCCTCACCACTTGATAACACTGCCTCTCAACCTAGTCTACACAGAACTCTCCCAACCATAGCCAGTACCTGAAAAATTGTACCATTTGCCCTCCGAGAAAACATAAAGTACTCAAAATAAATTCAGCAAAAGTGAACCCATTGTCCTTAAAAATCAACAGGAAATTATTCATCAGCTGTGGGGGAGAACAAATTAAGAGTTCTTCTTTAAACCTCATCACCAGTATGGCTTCTCAGTTGCCATGACATAGCATCATTCCAGTTCCCCCTCCGCTACAGGCTCTGCTGTATTTTTCAAATGTCTCTTCAATACAGATTTCCAAATGAGGTTCCAGCACCATAAAGGTTAAGTATAAACAACATGTCACATTTCTGGATCCAGGCCTTTAGTATGGGTGTTCCCCCCCTGCACAAAATGCCAATGCTCGTCCCATCTCTGGTCCTACTCGTTGTCTCCTTATATAGTATTAAACATTATATGCAGCCACATTCCTGGCACACGCAGGCGGCCTCACCCCTTCCTTCTTTCTGATCTTCATGACTTTCTTTCAGCCTCCCAAACTCGTACCTCTCATCAAAGGCTCATTCACCCTCTCAGCATCAGTCATTCCCACAGACCCAGCGAAATGTTGCTTTCTCAGGATTCCCTCCCACCTCTGCCCATCTCTGCCCTAATCTGCCCTTCACTAATCCTGTTACAATATGCCAGTTGCTGCTTGCTGCCCTTCCCTCGGCATATCACCTTTCATTTACAAAAGGGGCTCTCACAAACGTCCCATGGGATCTCTTAAAAGGTCAGAACGCCTGGATTTTCCACTAGAGACACAGGTGAAACAATGAAAATATTGATCAACCTGACCGGGAGTATATTTTGTGTAGAAGTGAAGGAATTCTAGAGTAGCCATCTAAAACTGGAAGTGCTGAACAAATATCACCTGGGTGCAGGGCAATCAATTCAAATGCTGTCATTTAAAGGACCACCTGTAGCTTTCAACAATCCATTGTGCAGTAAAGGAGACAGGTAGGGAAGGTGGGTACAACCAGTTTACTATGAAGGTGTTATGGAGTTCGGAAGGGTGATATTAAAGCCCAACCATGGGTGTTTTTTTTAATTAGAATAAACCTCCAACAGGTGTTAAAAATAAAAACAACTCGGGCTACAATACTCACCTCATGGTGAGTATTTCCGCACCAGTCCAGAGCTGTCCTCTACAGTTCTTTCTACCACAAGATGACCTCAGTTTTCCTATTTAAATTAGTACATCACTCAACTTGGAAGACTGAGGAGATACTGTGAGTCCAGGGGTCCTTCACTGACCATATAATGAAGCAAAGGGTAATTCTGATACTCTTCACATCTTCCAAGACAGCCCACCATCGTAAGAAGTTTGGAAGAAGAATATGACCCTGTAGGTTACATTACCTACCTGAAAACATAGCAAAAATACAGCAGATGGGGAAGAAGAGCACTAGGGGGCCAGGGGTGAGCCCATAGTTGATATTTACATCTAAACCTTTGCCAAGTAATTTCCATCTCCTGTAACAGTGATGTCCAACCTCACAAACAAGTCCTACCTCACACTCTGCCTGGTTTTGGTTAGGCTGTGGAACAGCTCACTGTCCTGTAACTGGACAGTGAAAGGAGAAGCAGCAGATTACTCTGCTCTCTGCTTCTATCAACATGTTAGTACATAAGCACTGCAGCCCAACTGACCTGCTCCTTGTTCTGCTTTACCCTTTTCAATCTAAGTTCTGCTGTACAGTGATTTCAAGAAGCTAATACCAAGATGAATTCAGGAAATTACACATGCAGCACTACCCCTTCAGGAGCTGTTGGATATAATAGGACCAATGTTCACTTCTGAGCCATGAGTGAGGCACAGCCCCTGCTAAGGCCACTGTAAACTTGCAACCAGATGTCACTTTGGTTATCATAAAGAGGATAAGTACAAAACTTTGGAAGAAGAAAATATTTAGTTTATATGAGAATCAGATAGGCAGTAGTATAGGCACAAAACCAACGTCTGATACTCACAAAAGAGAATCACATATAACAAAACAAGCGATAAAATACAGAACAATGCCACTTTAAATAGACCCAATTGTCCTGCAGGACAGAAGAGTTTAAACATAGATCTCCTACTGAGAGAATGTGCCCCAAACAAGCAGAAGAAAGAGAGAACAAGGGATGTTAAGCTAGCTCGCTTGTGGGCTCCCAGTAACCAGAACTAGGGTATAACTCTGAAGTTTTAGGTAGGCAAAATGTCCCATATACTGTAGAAGTATCACAAAGTCTTCTCACAGCTTGATGGAGCTCTTTATGTTGGTACACAATGGACTCGGAGATGGATACACAGCATGCAGAGTTCCCCTTTAATAAAGGCGACAAGCTGGGAATTTTTTTTTTCCATTGTTTTATTAAATAAAAGTTACAAGCATAGCCTTGGGGCATTCCCCAGCTCAAAAAAAAAACAAAAAACAGACAACTACATTAACAGCCATAGTCCAGCTCAACGTGAACAATCTTCAGTGTTCAGGGCAGGAGTATACTCAGTGGGATTGGAAACAATCAGAAACAGAAATTTGGA